CTTCTCTGGACACATTCAAGGACCTTCAGATCCTTCTTAAATTGTGGAGCCCAGAACTGCACACAGTACTCAAGGCTGCACCAATGCTGAACACGGTGAGACAATCCCCTCTCTTGACTGGCTGGTTATGCTGTGTTTGATGCACCCCAGGATGCGGTTTGCCCTCTTGGCTGCCAGGGCACACTGCTGACCCCTCTTGAGCCTACTGCACACCATCACTCCCAGACACCTTTCTGCAGGGCTGCTCTCCAGTCACTCCTCTTCCAATTTATACTTGTGTCTGGCGTTACTCCATCCCAGGTGCAAAATCCAGCATTTGTTCTTGTTAAATTTCATCCCATTAATCATTGCCCACCCCATTAATGCTCCAATCTATCTAGATCCCTCTGGAAGGCATCTTGTCCCTCAAGAGGGTCAACAGCACTTCACAGTTTGACATCAACAAACTTGCTAATGGTGCAGTCAACTTCTGCATCCAGATCATTGATAAAAATATTGAAGAGCACTGGCCCTAGAATCGAACCCTGAGGAACACTGCTGGTGACTGGTCTCCAGCCAGATGTAGCTCCATTCACTACAATGCTTTGAACTATGCCCTTCAGCCAGTTCTTTGCCCAGCTCACCATGTACCTGCTCATCCCACATATGGACAAGTGGTCCAGAAGGATGCTGTGAAGGACATCATCAAAAGCCTTGTTAAAATTAAGAAAAACTACATCCACCACCTTGCCTTCATCCACTGGGCAGGTAACCTTATTGTAGAAGGATATCAAATCAGTTAAACAGGAATTTCCCTTTGTGAACTCATGTTGACTGTGCCTGATGACTGCATTATTCTTTAAATGCTTTTTAATAGTAGCCACTATAATCTTCTCCATATTTTTTCCATTAACTGAGGTTAGACAAACAGGTCTGTAGTTTTCTGGGTCTTCCCTCATGTAGTTCCTCCTGCTTGTAAATTTGAATAACACTGGCCAGCCTCCAGTCAGCAGGGACCTCCCAGACTCCCCAGACCTCTGGTGGATGATAGAGAGGGGTCCTGCCATAACATCCATCAGCTCCTTCACTACTCTGGGATGAATCAGGCCTCATGGGTTTGTGAACATTCAGCTGATACAGCTGGTCCCTGACAATTTCAGTGTCCACATATGGAAAGTCGCTGCTCCCACATGCGTGGTCCTCCAACTCAGGGGACTGGGAAACCCAAGGTCTATCGGTGTTTTTAAAGACCAAGGTAAAAAAGGCATTGAATGCCTCCACTTTTTCTTCATTCCTATTAGTCATCTCTTGCCTTCAGCAGGTTGTACTCACCAGGCAGTTCTGTTCTGCACACTGATGTTTCAGTAATGAGGACTATTGCACAACAGTGCAAAGCTACTGTATGCTGCTCATAAACAAAGTCTTTTTCCCTGCATCTAGCTCTCCCACCTGAACATCTCACAGAAGTGTTGGGGTTTTTTGAGAGGCTCTTCCTCTCAAATCATACATGGACCTGACAAGAAAGAATTTATGTAAGTTTGAGGGGGGATTTTTTTTTTCCCATAAACAAAGGGAGGTTTGTGATCTGAGGCATGACTGTGAATTTGGAGGTTTTGAAGTTTTCTGAATGAAGTGTTTCTTCACTCTCTCACTCCTTTTTTTTTTTTTCTTTCTCTTTTTTTTTTTTTTTTGTAATGTGGACACTGTTCATTTTGGGTGAAGGAGCCACCCCAATTCTTCTTTCATAAGAGACTAGTCATGTCTCCCTGATTAGCACAGGATTTTTGCACATCTGTGTTGGTTTTAAGTTATGTGTTAAACTGAAGGATTGTTCACCAACAGGGTTAATTCTGGGACAATAACTTTGCTTGGCAGTCACTTTTCATATGCAAATCAGAGGGTCTGCTGCACTTGGGCAATTGTAATCTTCCTCTTGATGTTTCCTTGAAAATTCTCGATCATCCTCTATGTTCAAAAGTGGGGAATGTAAAAATAAAATAGGCTCAGAGTCCACTCCAAGAAGGTTCTTCAAAGAGTGCAGCCCTTTAAATCTTGATAAACAGTGCTGCAATCTGCCCAGTGCAAACCTGTATCCAACTATAACTGGTACACAAGAGAGAGGTGTTGTGAAGAGGGACTGTCCCTTGCTCTTTGTCATTGCCTGCTGAAGAGTTCACCCTTTGTAGGCATGTTGGCAAACTGAAATGAGCTGGCATGTGTCTTCCTTGGGGTAAGTTGAGCTGCAGGGGAAGAAGCAAGGTGTAACACAACTGTTTTCTTCTAGTGTGGGAAACTATTCTCTTGATATATCAGGTTGACTGCTTTGGTGACTGTACATTCTCTGATAGAGAATGAGTTTGCAATAGCAAGAGTGGATTTATTTGAGGCAATTATGCTATTGGCATGTCTTTTTGCTCACTGCCTGAGCCAGGCTCTGGGAAGGGGTAGGGAAAAGTACTCTTTTCAAGCAATTGAAACTTGCCCATAGGAATCAAAATGTCTGTGGTTATATGCCTGCTGAAATTTTACATGAGCAAAATGTGATCGAGCGATGTTCTTTCTCCAGACTGCTCCTTATTTTCTATGCAGCTTTAGTACACTCTGAGGAACACCACAACTATGGACTGAATGCTGGTCCAGTATTCCTGAAGGACCATATCTCAAAACCCTGGACTCAAACTCTAAGCTAATAAGATGCTTTTGTATAGGTATGGAAAGTGGTTTATTGCACTTTCCCTATCTTGAGAGCAAGCTGAGCTGCCATGTTGCCATAGGCAGAACTTTCTCTTCCTACTCACAATTCTCCTGGCTGTACACAAAACTTTTTGACCCCATAAACATGTGGGGAGCTCATGATTATTTGCTGTGACTCTGCTGTTTCCTCTTCTTTCCTCTGACTGAAATCTTTTCTAAAATTTATTTTCCAGAACAGGATTCTGCATTTTGTAAGGATAACCCACGTCCTTTGCTCTTACCTGCATTCCTTCACATTTTGCTGTACTACTGATGATGCTGTTTGCTTGTGCTCAGCTTTCTAATACCATCTTGGATGGATCTTTCTAAGATCATCTGTCTCGTCTTGTATAATTTTTTTCTCCTCTGTCCCTCTCCATCTAGCATGATTTATAATTTCCCAATTTATTAATTTAAAAAACAAAACGGAACAAAACAAAAAAACCCAACAAATATGTCCATTCTTACAATTCTCCATTTTTAACTGCATTGGATTCTAATTTAATTATTGGTAATTTTAAATTGTAAATTGTAACCCTATTTACTATCCCACTGTTGGTTTTGTATGTTTTCTCAATCATTATTTTGGTATCATGCTGTGTTCCTCTCTGAACACTGACACTACTGGTTTAATAATCTCTTACATGTGTAATCTTTTGTCACTAGATTGCAAAATGCTTTACAAAGAGAAGTTAACCTCATTACAAATGGGGAAAAGGAGACAGAGAGTGAAGTGACCTTTACATGGAAATGCAGTGATGGAAACAGGCAAGATCTGCAATTTCCCATCCACTTTTCGTGCAGGTTTAAACTATGAGTCACATGAACAGAAACTCTGTAAAAACAAGTGTAACTAATTAGTATGAATCTCAGAGTTGCCAGAATGTTCTGGTCTTCTCCTAGAAAACAAAGCAGTTTGCATGTTTAAAGTTAAATCAGTTAACAATTCAGTCCCCTCTTGAATGCTTTGATGAAAGAGAAAGTTGTCTTCAATCTGGTTACACGTGATAGAAAGGACTGAGAAGAAATATAGAAAACAAGTAATTTTTTACTAATTTTATCTTGGAATCCAGTGGGATTATGAGGTTTTGTTTCAAGACGTGTGTTTGCTGTGCTGGATGACAGTGTAACAATGCTGCAGTTTGAACACAGGAAAAAAAAAATCCATCAGTATATCTAAAGAGTGGCTACAATTTGCAGCTGTGCATTCTTTCTGCTGGCCAATTTCAAATTAAAAGAAATGAAAACTCTGTATGACATAGTCCCCCCCCGTACAAGTACAGAATTAAGTGAATCCATCTGTTTCTAGGAGATCTTCAGCTCTAACACTCAGAATACAGCAGAGACCAGGGTATGCACCTACTGCTGGGCTTCATCTGAAAGTAAGCAGGATCAAAGAAATCATCTGGAATAATGATGGAAATGTGGAATACTGCTGTAATTTTATATAATTGTTCTTATTTAATCACTTCCATTATTTTTTTTTTTTTCATCTTTTGGGGTTTGTTTGCTTGTTTGTTTTTTAATAACTCAGGGAAGGTTCTTTCTTTTGCTCTTTCCCTTGGGCAAGGGGAAATAGAGAGAAATGTACTGAACTTCAGTGTCCCCCTTTTGATTTCTACAATGCCTCCAGGGCTAACAGTCAGAAATGCAATGGTAAAAACTTAATTAATTTAGATGTATATAGGCATTTTCAGTAACAGTCTCCCTGACTGATTGCACAGGTGGCTGATCAAATTTTTATAAGCCAATAACAGAAGAGAGTATTTGATTTTAACTACAAATCAGTATCCTAGCGGGGGGCACAGCTTCTATTAAATAAAAAAATAATTTAATTCCATTCTTGTTGGTCTTGGGAAAAAAAAAAAAAAAGTTAGTATTGCATACAAATTGTGCCTATCAGAATATTTTTAAGAACTTGAGAAATTCCTTGATGTTTAGAGATAGAAGCCACTCACTTCAACTGAAATGAAACTGCCTCTGTGATGAAACCACAAATCTCTTACTAGATGAGTTGTCTAGTAGCCTGAAGGCTCTTGGAGGAATGGTGGGCACCACAATTTCCTCCTCTTATTATTTTATCAAAGGAAACATAGCAGCTCCTTGCACCTGTATCTTCTGAGTCTTTACAGTGTGGGTAAGTGGAATCAATTGGATCTTTCAAGTTGCAACATTTGATTAGTGCTAATTTAGAGATATAATTTCTACTGTGTAAAAGTATATGCTGCTTTTTGATGTATTTTCTTTGTCCCTTCTGAAAGAAAAATTAATTTAGGAAACGAGATCATGACCAACTTGCCAGAAAAGAAAGAGAAGGCTTCTGGAATAAATTTTCAGGGTAAGTAGATATGTATGTGTTTAATAGAATTTAATAGATATGTATGTGTTTAATAGAATTAATATTATATGTTGAAAAAAAGATGTACACATACAAGAATTGTTTATTTCCCAAATATGCTGAACAGGCTGTCAATCTATGTCACTTAAATAACAGGTCTTTGTTTAAGAAAAATCTGCTGAATGAAAATAGATCATCTTTAATGGTGGAGAGATGCAGAACACAGTCTTGGTTTTAGTCACTGCTTTCTCTGCCCTCTTTACCTTTTTCTAATCACCTGTTATTTATATCAAGGGACCTTAGATCCAGTGTTACTTATTTCAACTGCTTTCAGTCTAATTTAATGTTGAAATACCAGTTGTGAAGCTGATTAATTTATGCACTGCTTCTACTTTTTGAGTATTCTGGAACCTTGTTAATTGCAAACCTAAAAGTAAATGCTGTAACAAGAGCCATTCTGAAGAAAACCAGGTATTTCTGATTTTAACAGTTTTATTAAATTCTGGGCTATTTGCTGTTCCTTTAGAGAGAACCAACGCTTCTGGAAGACTAAAAGTGCAAGGTTAGGGACACTGTGGTTACTGAGAATCTGAAAATATGCTCCCCTAAAAGCTTCAAAGTCAAAAATCAGAGTAGAATAACTTACGAGATTGCTATTTAAGTCATTTCTTTAAATCATATCTTATGTGCTTTGGACTTTGTGATACCTGCTCATGTCTGTTCTGGCATTTCTTTCTCTGCTAATGCTTGGTCATGTAATTTCATGTTCCTTTTATACAAGCTTTCCTTGATCTTACTTGCTGAATCTAAATTGACACACTTTCTATATTTAAGTCTTAATGTTTACTAAATACATTAATATCGAGATTGGATTTATTGGAACCAGGAGAGCAGCCTCTAAGCAACCTCAACCAAGACGAATTCCCAGACTCCCTGCACGAGAGCAGCACTGCAGGCGGGTGGGCAGCAATTGCTGGGCTGCACGCGGGGAGCTGCTTGCCCACCTGAGAGCAGGCCGTGCCAACAACAATCCTCTTCCGTAAAAATGTGCCACCATGCCCTGCAGAGAGCTCGCCCGCTGTGTGCCGGTGGGAGCGCCGTGTCCGGCCGCGCAGGCTGCGCGCAGGCAGCAGCTGTCCAGTTCAGCACCATTCCGGCATGGGTGGCGTCAGGGCGGTCGTCCTGGGGCATCGCCGAGATGGTACAAAACCATTAAAATAATAAACGATTCACAAGATGATGGATTTAAAAATAATTTCATAAGAAACCCCGGTGTGTTTAGTCCTAACAGTTCTGGAGATGCAAGAATGGGATTTAATGCAGATCGCAGATTCTGGCATGCGCTGACTTGTTTCTTCGACTCAAATAGCTTATTTTAAGTAAAGAATTGGAGTAAAAACACAATGACTTAGCCTCTAATCTATTTAATCTTATTTTTGGGAAGAGGTGGGGAGGAGAGAGAAATGGACAAAGAAACTGCTCTTCCTGCCCCTGCAGCCAGCGTACCACATCCTGGAGTTCGGATTGCTAAGGAATGAGTTTTGAATGGTTGGGAGCATGCACCCCTGTGCAAAGCACTGCAACTTATGCAGTTTTGAGTCTGCTACAGTAGAAGACATCTCATATCCTCTTAAAGAAAAGCAGATATACAATATCTGATGTAGTCACTGTCTGTAAGTAGATACAATTGGCAATGATTATTTAAAAATACTTGATTTGTAATGTTCTGTCTGTTCAACTAAAATATTTTGAAAGAAAGTACTAATAGTGACAGGATTTGAGCTTTGAAATTCATCTTTTTCCCCTCTAATTACACTGCATCTTAAAAACTAATAAAACCATTTTCCAACAAGAAATAAGATAAAATCAACAACTTTGTTATTCAAAGCAGTATGAGCTAGAAGGTATGTCCTGGTTTGGGCAGACGACGACAAGGTATTTCAAGTTAACTGGAAGAATTATGAACGATGTCCTGACTGTGGGTTTCTGTTGCTACCCAAGGAGGCACTCGGTCACAGAGAAAAATGAAGAAGCCAGCAGGTGACAACTGGCCGGTGAAGGCTTATACATCTATAAAAGAACTAATAAGAGGATAAAACCAAAAGCTCTGGTGGGAATAACACCGAACCTTTGAAACAAACTAATATTACTGGTAGCACTACTGAAGTGCAGATCCTGAATACTAATTTTCATTGCTTCACAAGGTAAAGCAAACATCTTAACAAATCTGTCGAGTGCTTCATACTAGCACATCTAGGTGGTGTTAAGTACATGAACTCGTGCTATGCAGTGGTAGTCTGGAGTGTCTGTACATATCTGGAGTTGCCCTGTTGGCACTGGACTTCTGAAGGTACCCAAATGATCTGAAAAAAAGGGAAGGATCTGTGAATAAAGCTGATGAATGACATTCAGCATTCCTGCTTGGCTACACCGTGAACTGACAATGAAGACCATCAGCCAAAATCTAAGCCCCTTCTGTGTCTATGCCAATAACTAGAGAATCTGTGCTTGCTTTTAATTATTCGTTTAGAATGGTTTGAAACCTATTTATGAGCTGACAGTGGTAAAGAGCTTGTGTAGGAGGTGAATTTGTTCTGCTTGAGCTCTGACAGAGAACATATATGTAAAGGCTAAAGTGAGGTCTGCAGACTACTAGCTTGATGAATCCAAATACCCTGAGATAACAACCCCTCTGCTCGAAGATACCTCTGCTGTCATCAGCTATACTAGGCAAAAGACACTCAATGGAGACATTGTGGGACAACTGAGCATTTTGTTAAGATACTGATGTACTCAATAAGTACCTGAAGTTACAGGTGTTATCATTTCAACTACTTCTGTCTATGTACTCAAACAAGTTGTGGGTTCAGACCTGTGCTGTTAGCATTTCTACTGCATTAGGATGATATTAGCTCAACAGTTTCTGTACAGCTTGGGACTGTAAAATGATTTTGCTTTAAATATTTACTAATTTGCTGAATTCAGATAAAAGTTGTATTTAGTGAAGCAAGCTAAGGGTTTGTGCCTGAATATCTGTATGTAGCTGTGATGTCTACTATGTGCCATGGATCTGCAGAACTCTGTTCTACTTCTATTGGTAATACCATGCTAGCAGAAGTCTTTTTAGTGTCAGAACAAATACTGGATACATTGCTTCATTCCAAATACTACAGCAAAAGAGACTTTAGCACAGGAAGAGCATTAAGGAAATAGTTGGCTATAAAAAACCTTTTGTTCTCAGAATTAAAATGTGATGCACATGTAACAGAAATGGCTGCTTTTAGTAAGACATTGTAGTCATAACAATTTAAACTAACTGCAAAAGGCACTGAAGAGAGCAAGTGTTGCTACTGGTGCCAAGACCTATCCAGAAAAGGTAATCTTGGTCATCTTTGTGAGGACATACAGGTGTTGAGCAGAGTTGTGTCTACTAACAGGTATCGAGTTTAACATTTTGAACTTGCATCATATTACAAATCTCTTTTCCTCTTAACTTACATGAATCATTAGTTAGTGCTGCCTAAGGACAGAGAATTTGTAGTGTTTATTACATTTAACAGATTTTTCTCCATCAAAAGCAACAGCACATGACATTTTAACAGCACCCTTTGCTCTGCAATTAAGTTGGTGACTTTTAATAACCAACCTGCAATACACTGTTGTCTGGATCATGTTGGGATTTTTGGATCATTTCTAAAGACATTTGGAAATATCTAGAGGTCATGTCCTGCCCTTGTGTTGTCAGCACATCCAGACTGAACCTGAATGGTGTGGAAATGCAGTGTCAGACTGACATCTATCTGTTCCCAGAGAGGTAGTGTCTCCAACAGACCCAGACCATGCTACAACCATAGCAACAGGACCAGCTCAAAGACTAGAGCAAATTTTATTTCTAGCTGTGCCTCAGGTGCAGAATCATTACTTTAGGGAACTTGTTCTTGTCAGGGGAAAAGTGCTATACATTAATGTATCTAAACAGAATTATGTCACTTACAAATAGCCTGAACATTTGCACTGTTCTATCTTACAGTTTTATCTTACATTTATGACCTTCAGGTATGTCTGCTGATGCTTCGGCACACAAGATGTGAATGTGCTTACCTAAAAGACAACACTGGGAAGGCTATAGTGCTGCTTCAAAAACAATTCCAGGTAAGGAAGCAATGCAAAAGATTGTGTCAGGGCTACAGAAAAGTGAAGGACTGACTTCTGGAACCTCAGAGTTAAACAAGGGACACATAAAATCAAAGACACTCTGCCACGAAGGATGTCATCTGCCTGGTGGTCAGTAAGAAGATTCATTTTTAAATGACATGAAGCACAGACCAGGAGCTGAGAATATCATGGCTGAGTACTGTTCTTGTTTGATGCTATCTCCACTGGACATACTCAAAGATGATGAGTGCACTTGTGCATTTCTATAACTCAGTCTACTGCAGTTAAAGGGAACAATTTTCAGGAGTTTTATTTGGATATATGTGATACACATACAACACTATTGATTCAAATATTAACATCCTTTTGTTCTATGTAACTAAGTATTTATCTTTTTAAAAAAGTGGATGAATTCAGTACCCCACTGTCATGGCACAGACTGGATTTTCTAGGTGAAATAAGCACTTGCAAGGTGATATGTGACTAACATTTATATCACAGCCTTTTGTCCTGCTTCCAGACTAGAAGGAACCTACTTCTAAAATAACTATTCTGGATCTAAGAACATTAGATGAAAGCCTTTTCTTAAGAACTGCTATAATGTGTCAAACTATATTTCCATCAAGCAAAAAAAAAAAATCCTTTTCTACTTCATAACTCAACAATATCCTCTGCCAAGGAGATCAACAACTTATTTACATATTTTGAGTACCTTTCACTAAACCAGTTGTCTGAAAATTGAGTTGAATTCTTGAATTCAATGAATCTTGAACAGTCATGATTCTGTATTGTTGGCTGTTTTATACGTCCTTCACATGCACCTTTTTCAGTCATCTCTTCTGAAAACCAGTGTTACAATTTGTTGTGGTTTAGGCCTGATTGGCAGCCAACCACAATGCAGCAGCTCTCTCTCCCTTCCCCTCCGGCAATGAGAAGGGACAGAGAGCCAGGCTTGGGGTTCAAGATAGGACTGGGATGGGGGAAAATCCCCCTTTTATGATCACAAGCAAAAGGCAGACTCGTTAGGGGAAGGAAAAAAAAGAACATACATTTATTACAGACACTAACAACACACAACAGAGTAGGACAGTGAGAAGCATTGCCACATCTTGAGAACACCTTCCCCCCACCCCTTCCTTCTTCCCGGGCTCAGCTCTGCTCCCGATATCTCTACCTCCTCCCCCAGTGGCGCAGGGGCAGGGAATGGGGGGTGCAGTCAGCTCTGCCACTTCCTTCATCTTCGGTGAGGGGAGTGTCCGGAACTTGTTCCTCCTGCTCCATCGTGGTCCCCCTCTCACAGCAGACAGTCCTCCACAAACTTTCTCTGACTTGAGTTCCTCCCATGGGCCGCAGTGTTCCCCACACTGCTCCGTCACGGGTCACCAACTTCCTCCGACTGGATTCCGTCCCACGGCTGCAGCCCTTCCCGAGCTGCTCCGGTGTGGGACTCCCCCGCATGCTGCAATCCTCCCAGCACTGAATTACAGCAGCAGGGCTGCCTTTTCCCATGAGACCCCGGCCTTCTTCGGGCACAGAACCTTGATCAGCTGAGCAGGAGCAACAGGCCACAAATCAATGTCTGCTCCACCGTAGATCTTCATGGGTGGCAGGGGGGGCCGCCCTGCCGTCCCACCACAGGATACAGGGGGGTCTCTGCTCCGGCACACCTCCCCCCTCCTTTCTTCCTCCGTTCCTCCACTGACCTTGGTGTTCATGCAGCTGCAGCAACTCCTCCTCACAAGTCCCACTGCCCGTCACCACGTCCCTTCTTAAATACGTTATCGCAGAGGCGCAGCTCGTTGGCTCAATTTCCCAAACAGAAGTGGAGCTGATGTGGAGCTGGGGGAGCTTCGAGAAGCTTCTCACAGGGGGCCGCCCCGATAGCCCCCTCCCCTGCCACCAAAAATCTCCACCACTCACTCAACCCAGGACACATTGATTTATTTGGATGGGATGTGGTTCCTCAGCTCTGGCCATCCTTTTTGCCTCTCTCTGGACTTTTCTGACTGACATTCACAACTGCATGTAGAATTCCAAATATGGATACATCACTGGTTTATGCAGTGTGTCGTTACTCCCCACCCCCCCCTCCCTTGCCACCCCAATTTCTTTCCTAATGTGCCAACTTAATTTTTTCAGTGCTAAGCATTTATTTGGAAAATCACTCTAACTACTCTGGAAAGTGTTTGTGGAGTCATCAAGGATTCAAGCATCACCTTCCACGTCCATTTCTTCACATTGTTGAAATTTTTTTGACCAAGCTTTGTTGCAAGACCTCCCAATGCTTTATGCATGGTTATTCTGAATAACTGTGTCAACAAACTTTGTCTTAAGTAACCTGGAAAAAGACTAGTTACCACTTGGCAACTGTAGGCATCCTGAAAGTCCCTTTGGAATTCTGTCTTTTCTTTCTAAAAAGTAACCATTCTTTCCTATCCATTAAGGAACTGTTGTTACAAAACTAGTGTGAAGTCTTGCACTTAATTCTTGTCCTGTGACAGCTTAGTTTCTTTAAGTGCCTTCATAAAGGCACTGTTGAAAGATGCATGTTTTTAAAAAAATAAATATCTGTGGTATATCAACAGCAGATCTTTATCTCTGACTTTTAATGCATTAACATTTTTAGATTTCTGGAGCAAAACTTCTCTCTGCAAAAACTATGTTGGCTCTTATCTAAATATTTTATCTATTTAAGACTATAATAACTCGGTTATTTAGTACAGTACTGTGATGGGGTGTTTTGCTCCATAATCATACCTCCTTTATTTCACTCTGCAGGAATTCTGACATAAGTCGCATGTGCAGGTTGCTGTAATAGACTGGCTCTTCTGAACTGACAGTCTGACCAGCTGCTAAGCACAGCTCAGGCAAAATTCAGAGCTCCATCTTCTCTACACTTTTGCTGCCTATTTGGGCCAACAAGCAGCTGTTTGATATCTAAGAATGGTACCTCTGCATTATCTACTAGTGCGTTTCCCACTGCACATGACAGATAGGTGACATCTGTTCTTGTGGCAAGTGGGAAGACAGAAATCCGGACTCCCTTCTTAGGAAATCAGTCATTGTGGCTTTTTTCAATTGAAAGGTTTGTTTTAAAACAGTGTTCAGAAGTGGTTTGTCACAAGTTGTGAAATGATTTGTCATGTCACACTGACACTTTTTTTGTTTTGTTCCAATAACAAAAAATTAGGGGCGATTTCTGTTGTGCTGCCTAAGGATACCTCTCACTGCATTTGTCTTATACTCTCAACATTCACACTATATCCAGTATGGATAGTCTTTTTAACTGCTAGTAGAAGGCAGACCAGCTTCTTAGCAGCTCATGGCCTGTTAATCTCTTCTTTCCAGTGACTGGCCTGTTACATGCTAGAGGTAGCATATATTTCCTCCAGTAGAAAAAAATCAAGGTTACAGACATACTAGCAAAACTTCCTGTGTGTTGAGAGTGTGTGTTTGCATCTCCATATGCCCATCTACTGGTGCAGTACGTATAAATTTCCAGGAAAAAAAGAAGCTCTAATGACAAACTGTGATTTCTGTAACGGGGATAGTTAAAACAAGCAGTATCGCTGAAGACTTAGCTATACATCTCAACCACCACATAATATCTATTAGTGTTTTTGACTCTTTGCCTAGACCACAGAATTTACTTAGAACAGAAAAGAGACTCACAAACAGTTCTGGTTAGCATGAACTAGACAATCGGACCTTTTCCCTGGCTTGATGCAGATAATTGAAGTGATCATGGTTGATCCTTGGTTTCATAATGGTGTCAGTCTGGACCAACTTAATTAAGGTAAAAGATACCAATCTGCACCAGGGAGGAGCTAAGGACCAGGATTTGTTAATATGACTTTGCTATTCAGTGCAGATAGACTGTTAGCATTTACTATTGCAGAGAAGATTCCTTGTAGAAAATAAAGGCATGTGAGATACTCAAGGTGTGGTTCCAGATTTCTGAATTTCTCTGCTGGCCTAAATTGAGGAAGAGCAGGACCACAACATGCATGAAGATTATAGGCAACCTCTAAAGGTCATGGGTAAAAAATTGAAGAAAAGAAAGGTCCCCTTCATCTGGAGGCTCAGCAAACACCACAGCTTTCAGTGTGCCCAAGATTTACTTCAAAATTAACTGAGAGCAAAGTTGGGGACCAGTGCAGATATGTTTGACTCTATTCCTTGGCTACCTATTCTTTATTATGCATAATGTTCTTGTCATACCAAGAGTCATCAGCACTTCTTGTCCATTTTACTGAATAACAACCCCCCCCGATCATTAGTTTTGGAAGTTTTATTAGTGGAAAAAACTTCGTTTGTGTTGGGCTCCATGATGGCTCTGAAAGAGTTGTTTTCCATTCCTAAAAGGAGATGCAGTCAGACCCTGTAACTTTGGTTACCATCAGGAGCAAGGCTTCGTAAGCAGGTTTTGCAACAAACACTTAATACAAGAATGCATATTTAAAAGTATGAGAAAATTACACGACGATATAAATTCAACATAAATTTGTAATTTTTATTTAATATAAAACCAGAAAACTAAAATTTTTCAATGTGTTTGTACCACAAACCCTCTCCTAGAATTATGTGAAATACAGATTTTACAAGTCTCTAGCAAAAAAAGGGGAAAAAAAATCAGTATGTGATAGGAAAAACTGCAAAACAAATTTTAGGCAAAGGAATACATCTAGGCTTTCCTTTCTGCTGCCTAAGCTCTTCAGCACTTTTGTTTAAGGTATATACAGTATGAAAGAGTCAATGCGTTTCATTAAGTGTTGAAAGGCAACGTTTTTCGTAACAGCGTAATATTTTGACACTGCCATCTCCTTTCTTTCTGCCAGGTCTGCCAGTGAATTTTGTCTCCATAGAATATAATTTTCAGTGAGTTTGAATAATTTGTGAAAGATCTTGCTACAATATTTCGTTCTAGTTCCTTTGCAGAAGATTTAGACTTGGAAGTTTTAATGTCATATGAAAGTGGATGCACAGTTATAAATTTCCATTGGGTTTGCAGCTTCTTAGATTTCAACTATTTCCCTCAATACATTTCTCTGTTTTTTTGTCTTTTGTGTTCACAGTGGGCATACTTTTCAAACTTATTTTGCACATCGAAAAAAAAACCAACCTTGCTCCTGTTTTCAATTAATGGATTCCTGGATAAAATAGTACTAAAATACTCTCCAACAATGATTGAAATAGGGTTTACTCATTGAGCTGTGCTAGCAAAACTCTAAACTCACTTCTTAAACGTTAATCTGAAACAACAGCAAAATCTCAACCCTGAGGCCAAACATTTGCCCTGACTGATGGGAGGGGATTGGGGACAGGGATGGGGATGTGGGCAGGCAGGGGAGAGGCAAGATGGGCTTCTGCCTACAAAAAGACTGGCAAGGCATTGATTTTGGTTGTAAGGCAGACAAGCCCAGATCCTGAAAAGATGTTTTTACTTGTTTAAACAATTAAATAATTAAAATAATTTGGATTTAAAAAAAAAATGACAATATATAATAATAATAATTATTATTAATAATAAAATTACTTGTTTAAATGCTGTACATCATGGTACTGAAGCCAATTATCACATCTGGAGTTTGTGAATTGAACCACATGTGTCACCTTTTGCAAGACACGGACTGTAATTTACTACTTGGATTTCTAGAGCTGTGCTCCCACATGGAAAACACCGCTGAGAGGTCCTTCACACCACAAACCTACTGGGAAGGATTCTCCGTATTTCAGTGAGAAGTCAAGTGAGTTATGGATTTCAGTTTCTTAGAAAGTGGGATTTAGAAGTTTCCAAATACAGTAAGAAGCTGTTATACTACATAGGGGGTTGAAATACAAAACCATGACTGTAACGGAGATGACTTATGGTAAACACATAAGGATTTAATTTTTTCCTTTTTTAAAGTGTTTTTTCTTTTTGATCTAGGAGCTGAAAGATCTATCTCTATCTATGGTTTTGTTTCTTCAGCTTCGTGGAAAATCTAGAAAAGCCAACACTGCTAATCAGGCAAGTATGATTTTACCTGCAAGTTGGTTTTTTTTTGGTTTTTTTTTTTGCAAGATGTATTATTCAAGATACATACATATTTTTATTTCTTTCACAAACCAATTTAATGTTTCAAACTTTGACTAGATTTTCAAAAAAGGATTAAATCCAAGCAAAAATTACAAGGTACTTTCAACAGCCACATAAGACTTAGATTGCTTTTTGCACACAGAACATGGAAGGACCATATAACAGCTTCAGCTGTCACACTGCGCTTTAACTGTAGTTTGCATTTCTTCAGCTTGAGGAATGTCGAAATGCACTGTGTAAAAACAATTTCATGTATTAAAGGAAAATATAGCATTTGAAACTCTAATTGAATCATGTAAAACTTATCTTGTATTTCAGAAACTGAAAGCAAGAACAAATACAGAAAGAAATCTATTAAGCATATGGGAGCCAGGAAAAAAGAACCTATACTTATTCCTAGATTTTAAAACAACTCAGTAGACTTCCCTTGAGATAGAAAATCTGGTTAAATTACACTTTAATTCTTGTTTAAAAGCTTTTCAGCAAATATTTAAAATCAGAATGCTGAAAGTGGTATAGCAAATTTAAAACTAATTTTGCCATTTTAATAGGTCACTTCTGTAAATAGATAGTTAGCATGTATCTGTCACAATCTTTGTAAAATTGCTAAAAAGAACTTTATGCATTAAGCTTGCTATAAGTATACATTTCAGTACAAACACTAATATATATTCTTTGTGGGTTATTATATGTTTCAGGATAAAGAGAACCATAATCACAATCTTCATTAAGATGGCACTTGCTGGGTTTGGATTTTTTAAGATAGTCTTCTGGAACCGGACACTTTGATCACTAAATAATGTCAACACAGAACTGCATGCCATTGCAATGCAAGATGTATAATAGGAATAGGTAGGTTTTGCATCAGACATTTGTGGCATTTATAGAGAAATATAGTTACTGAAACACTCTTAAAACTCATTCAGTGGATTTTCCCCCAAATATTAAAAACATCTGTGGTTGTGGATATGTACTTTCATCTCTTTGTACATACCTGTAATACACCGAGAAAGTGAAGTCATCAGGCAGTTCTTAAGAGAAATTTCTGAAGAGCTTCACAAATGCACATAATGTCATTACTGCAGAGGGCTTTAATGATGTTTAGCTTATAAAACTTAGTAACTTTTAAAAATTATCTGTATTATCTCATGCTTTGACACATTCTAAATTAACAATAATTGAGAAAATGAAGAAAAAAATAAAGCCTAATCAAAACATGGAAACACATTTTTCTTATTAGAGCTTTAAAGAGGTGCTTTTTGTATTTCAGGGTTGCTTTGACACATTTAATATACATCAGTGCTTTACATTATTGATAGACTTTATTACTGTCTACTTATAACACCAAATAAATAAAACCGATGAGCCATATATCTTGCATATTGGAAACACTTCAACCTCAGTGATCACTAAGAAAGAACAGTATAATGATGATTTTGCCAAATAGCTCCCCCAGATCCTTACAAAACTGTGAGTTAAAGAGTGTTTATGAACTTTGGTAGAAAAGCACTTACTTCTCTTTTTTGCTACTTCGGTAGCTTAAGCAATGCCATAAATCCAAGAGTCTTAGAAAATTAGCTCCTTGTATTTTAAAGATGTAAAAAATTCTGTACTTTCTACTGAGAATTTTTAAAATTGAGTAATAAAAGCTTAATTGAGAATGATTCAAAGGCTAAAAAAAGGTGCTACAAAAAAGGAAATATACTAGAAAGAAACGGCATATATTTTAAATTAAAAGCTATTGAGCAACAGTGTAGCATCAGTCTGAGTTTTGTGTCGTTTGTATGTATACCATAGAAATTTATTTCTCTTCTTATTTATTTTACTGATAATAATCACAGACAAATTTCATACTTTAATAAACTAAAACTAGCTAGGCAGTACTGGATGGAAAAAAAAATTCCTACAAAAGATAAATTATTTGCAAACAGGAAATGTAATATTGAGGTCTGTAGGTACACACCTTTGTACCTTCAGATCAGTGCTTTTAAGTATAAATTTTTTTAAGAGTTTGTGAGATTCTTTATCTACAAAGTGATTCCCTGGTATTGCAAGGAAAATCTGCTGGTGTTTTCAGCACCAGTTCAAGATATAAAATGATATCTGGAACCTTTCTTTATAGATGTCTCTAAATTATAAAGCCTACATTTTTCCATCTGCAAAGAAGCTTATTGTAATACATAAATGACAGATACTATCAGCAACTCATTTAAAAGGTCAATTAGCCATTAAAACAGCCAGTTTTAACTCCTAATGCTACCTTCAGAAACATGATACACAGGAATCATGTATCTTCTAATCACATAGTAAACACAAGACTCTCCAAAAAGTCTTCTGTACATTTGCAGCTGAAAAGGATAAGATAAAAATCAGTGCAAGATAATTTCCTGAATAACCAAGATATGACATTTTCCTCTACAATGTGTAGTATCACTGAAAGATTTTGAGAGAAAAAGGCAGGAAGGGAAAGGGATATAATTTGTTACGTGCTTGAGGAACGAACTCAAGGAGCTCTGTTCTACCTGAGCAGAGACCAGCTCTAATCATTCATCCCAAGGGCTCCAAATTCTCTCTAGTGCCACTGGAACAGCTGTGGCCTTTAAGAAGCTATAGCCTCTCAGGCAAGAAGAAATCTGGTACCATCTTCCAAAAAAAAGACACACATGTAATAAAAAAGGGGAGAGGGGGTGGAAATGAACCCCAAAATAGTCAATAGAGGACATAAATGTACTGCCTCCACCACAAATCCACCAGTTTTCCCATCCCCTATCTAAGCATTTATTGCTACCTTCAAAATGGAACTCATCTGAAAAGCAAACACACCAGTGCATAATCATCTTTTTCTTCTCCAGATGAGTCACTGATTGCAGTGTAGTTTAGGGTCTTTTTCCTTGTTCTAATTTGTGGTGAAATTCATAGGCCAACTTTATTCATTTTCAGTCCCTTGAAAATCAAGGTACAGACTTGTTCTTTACAAAAGAAATCCAGGTTTTCTGCTGGGAGCAGGAAGCCAGCATTCTTTGTTATACCTGAACACAGCCTGGCTGACATGCTCCTTCAGACCTTTAATTTGTTCGGATTTTTGTCCCGCTTCAGGGCCTGATCGTGCAATCATCTGGCACCCGACCGAAGTATTTCCTGCAGGTTCCATTATTTGGTTTGCGTTAGTCCCCTTCAAATGGAATGTGGATTTGTAAAACCATAGGAAGACTAGAGTTTGTGTCACAGGAGCTAACTAATTTCTACAGGCCTTTCCTTCCAGTTCCTCAACTCAAGCTTCAGGATAGTGTGGGTTTGACATTTTCCAGCTATTCGCATCTGGCCACCTCTGCGTACTCAGATTGTACACAGCTGGTGCAAGTTAAATCTTGCTCTAATATAGTCTTGGGCAAAGAATAAGAGAAATACGGCTTCGGGCTATTTGCACCCATTTTAAATATAGTCTCACAATTTTAAGCAGGAAGAAAATTGATCCTTTAGCAAATATTTCTCACTGGTACCAAAAAAGGCCCTCTGAAACTGGACACACTCAGCTTTCTCTTCCTTGCATTTGATTGCACAGCTCTTGATGCAAGTATTAAAGTAAAGTGATTTCTTAGGCATATCAGGATTTTTTTTCATGGCTACATTGTGTGGAAGGAGGCACCCCTAAAATCTGCAGTCCCTTCTGTCATGACTTATATTAGGAACAAATCTTTGCAAATTCTTAACCATCTGATATTGGACAGTTATAAATCAGTGGAAGGGATACAGATAAATAATATCTGAGCAATTGCAGGCAATTTATTTTTCCCCTGTATAAACAAAATAATGTGGAATAGACTAGAATATAAACTGTAATTTGTTTCAGCTTGTGGATCTCAACACCAGTTTTATTATGGTTGATACTATCATCACCATAAGGGCTTACCGACTTGAGAAGGCTTGGAGCACCTCATATATAGGCCTATATGGAGATTAAAATTTTACAGTGAAGACATGAAATGATGCACTGAATAAAAGGAATTATACCTGATTTTTTTTCTTATGTAATTTTTGCAAAGACACAAGTAAATTAAGGATGTCTTGTAACTTGCATACAAGTCTTGCCACCAAATCTTGGAACATATTGTATCTCACCTTATAATACTTAAAATAAAAATGGATAAAATCAGTCTTCCATTTCAGAATATTGCTGCTAATATGAGAGTTGCTTTTCTTTCAGTTAAATCTTTTTTAAAAATTAAAAAATATTTGTTTTCCATGCAACTTGTCATACACGTGATTTCTGAGGCAAATCACAAGGAAATACAAGGAAAATCAAAGAAATGTTTGGCACAGTACCTCATTTGATTTGTCACAGTAGCTTATTTGATTTTTTTAAACTTGATTTTTACCTGCCTTGTTTTTTTTCCACAAATCTTGTATAAAGCTTCAGTGAAGGTGGAATGAAATTAACAGCAATACTGATGCCAGTTAGAACTATATCGCTCTTTCTCTTCTGGCAGCACAGAAGAACTGAAGGGTGGTGAATCTGAGATAAGTCATGGGAATATTAGAGCTGCCACAGCTTCCCCAGCTTCTTTCCCCAGACTGTGGGGACAAGGACGGGCTCTACAGCTGCAGCCCCAGTGGGAACTTATAGTTCCTGATCTGTAAAATGAATGAACCATCCCTCTCTGCCATGGGGCTAAACTGTTCTGAAAAGTATCTGTAGGTTTGGGTGGGAACAGTGAGAGCTAACATTCTCTTCTGAGAAAAAAATTTGGGAACTGTCATGGTTTCATCACAGAGGGCAACTGAGCGACAAGCAGCCATTCGCTCATCCCTTCCCCCCAGCACTGGGAAGGGGAAAATGAAGTGAAAGGCTCAAGGATAGAGATAAGGACAGGGAGGGGGTTCTCACCCATTACAATGTCCTGGTTCCATCTGGAATAGAGTTAATATTTCTTT